CTGTAAACTATTCTCAATATGATTGCCTCACTGCTAGAAAACATGACCTAACAACTCTCCATTTTACTATTTGGGACTATTACCATAAATAAGCAAGCAAATCGACAAAACTGCCCTACGTCTCTCAACCTGCTCCTGGGAAGTCCAGCAAAAAACAACCCTAGCACATGACCCCCATACCGGTCCCCTAAGAACTGCTCTCGTACAAACCAGCAGAAAACTTACAGTACCCAAATGCTGAACAGTCTAAACACTCGCCGACGGGGAATTAGTTACCCGGGCATAGATAACAGGATGGAAACGCGGGCTTTCTGAAGGCTGAGAGGGCTGCCAAGGACTGCATGGAGACACTGAAGTTGGATAGTACCTGTTGTGCTGACTCCTTTGGGGGCAGGCAAGTGGGGAGAGAGTAGCTTTAAGTGTAAGATGCTTGGGGTAAACTTACATGGGTTTTCTCAGTGACCTCAGAATGTTTCACATCACAGAAAAAAAAATCAACCTCACCAATCTAAGCCTTACGTCATCAAGTTCAAGCAAATCTCCCGCCCTCAACCATCTTTCAATTACTGTCCGGTTGCTCCCGATGGAACATCTCCCCAAGGCCACCAAATTGAGTTTTGCACCATTCAGTTGACACCAAAAGAAATGAAGAAATGGCCCACAAAGCAAGCAAAAATGAAAACCAAGATATGTTGGGTCTTACTTCTATAACAATGCATCTAGCCTTCAATTAGTTGGGTGAGAAATGTATTATATATTTAAACAAAGCATTTCAAATTATATTTTAAATTTTAGAAATAGTATTCCACCTTTCTATGTTACTTTTTCTTTCAGAATCTTCCTAGCATATTTTAAATTTAATTTCATATCAGGGCTTATTTTTTTAAAGTAAAAATACCTTCATTTACCATCTGGCCATTTAAAAAAAATTTTTTTTATTTAAAGATTTTATTAGGGGCTCTTACAGCTCTTATCACAATCCATACATACATCAATCGTGTAAAGCACATTTGTACATTCATTGCCCTCATCATTCTCAAAACATTTCCTCTGCACTTAAGCCGCTGGCGTCAGCTCCTTTCTTCCTCCTCCCTCGCTGCTCCCACCTCCCTCATGAATAATTTATAAATTGTTTTGTCATATCTTACACTGTCCAACATCTCCCTTCACCCACTTTTCTGTTGTCCATCCTCCAGGGAGGAGGTTATATGTAGATCCTTGTAATCAGTTCCTCCCTTTCCTCCCCACCCTCACAGTATCACCACTCTCACCACTGGTCCTTGAAGGGATCATCCGCCATGGATTCCCTGTGTTTCCAGTTCCTATCTGTACCAGTGTACATCCTCTGGTCTAGCCAGATTTGTAAGGTAGAATTGGGATCATGATAGTGAGGTAGCGGTGGGGAGGGAAGCATTAAAGAACTACAGGAAAGTTGTATGTTTTATCGGTGCTATACTGCACCAACTGGCTTGTCTCCTCCCAGTGATCCTTCATAAGGGGATGTCCAATTGCCTACAGATGGGCTTTGGGTCTCCACTCTGCACTCCCCCTCATTCACAATGATTTTTTTGTTCTGATGATGCCTGATACCTGATCCCTTCATCACCTTGTGATCACACAGGCTGGTGTGCTTCTTCCATGAGGGCTTTGTTGTTTCTGAGCAAGATGGCCACTCATTTACCTTAAAGTCTTTAAGACCCTGGCCTAGATGCTATATCTTTTGATAGCCATGCTACATCAGCTTTCTTCACCACATTTGCTTATGCACTGCTTTGTCTTCAGCGATTGTGTGGGGAAGGTGAGCATCATGAAATGCCAGTTTAATAGAACAAAGTGTTCTTGCGTTGAAGGAGTACTTGAGTGGAGGCCCAATGTCCATCTGCTACCTTAATACTAAACCTATACATATATGCACATAGATCTATTTCCACATCCTCATATACAAATATATTTACATATGTACATCTGGCTATATCTTTTTAACATTACCTGTAGTTGCGTATGACTTTCACAAAGATCAACAAATAAGCCAATGGCTCTCAGTTTACGGGTTGTGACCCTTTTGGGGGTTGAACCACCCTTTCATAGAGGTCGCCTGATTCATAACAGTAGCAAAATTACAGTTATGAAGTAACAACAAAAATAGTTTTATGGCTGGGGGGTCACCACCACATGAGAACTGTATTAAAGGGTCGCGGCAGGAGAAAGGTTGAGAACCAATGCAGTAAGTTTTTTCACCTTCTCCTTTGATGCAGAAATTAGGCTGAAGATTTTAAGCTCACCTCCTCCTTGTATCCAAGCGTTCTGCACTAATCGATGGAAAATGGAACCTTTATAATGAAGTCTTAAGCCGCTTTCCGATATTCCAGCTGTTCCAGTGCACAGGACCTGAAAATTCTTACACGTTTTGGGACACATATCACAGTACAACTACAAAGTAAAGATAGGAGGTGTCAGCAATGAAGTATTTAACACTTTGACAGGAATTTTTCCAACTTATTAAGCAGTCACAAAACCCACTTACCTCAAAAATCAATCTTCCAATTGGATAATAATCAAGACCAATGTCAAAGAACACAAAGTTATGCTATTAAGAGTTTGGGAGCAAAACAAAACAAAAAAAGCACAGGTCAAAATCTCAACAAAGTTTTTGAAACAATTAAAAATATAAAGATACGTTTTCAGTGTGTATATAACTTAAAAATGACAACTGTGGACGTGTTATGATATGTGAATTTTATATCAATAAAACCATTTATATATATGGTTTTTTTTTCAGCAATAAGACTCCAACAGCAATACTAAAATGGATGGCTTAAAGACATTTCATTTTATATCAAGTCTTTACAACCTAAATAGTATACTTTTAAACTCTTCTGCGGTGCAACTTTGGATAACGCTGACTTATCCAACAAGACAGAACACGTGGCCCCATATCCCCAACTTGGCTGACTGAGTGGAAAGAACACTAGTCGGTCCCGTGGGGAAAGGACTGGTGGGACCTCTCTTTTCTTGCACCTTGGTTTGGGGGCAGAGATCCACAGTGAGCACAATGGAATTGGTTACTGTGTCCGGGATTTCCAGAGACAGCACTAAATGAGCTCACCAGAGCCAGGCGATAGCCTTCCTCAGTCGGGAAATAAGGCCACAACTTCCATGGAAGCTGTGAGACCAGGGGCGGGAAGTTATACTCCATCCTGTCCTCCTATCCACGCATGCCCCTGGCTCTTACTTTCAACTGCTATCCACTCTGGTAGAGACAGCTCACATTTCAAGTTTGTTTAAAGAAAAACAAAACCAACAAAACCCTCACTGTCATTGAGTTGACGCATGGTGAGCCTACAGGGCAGGGTAGAACGTGAGTTTCCAAGACTATCTCTCTACGGGAGTAGAAAGCCCCACCTTTCTCCTGCAGAGCAGCTGGTGGTTTTGAACTGTTGACCTTGCAATTAGCAGCCCAATGTGTAACCACTACACCAGGACTCTTCTCAAGGAAACAAATCCTTATTAAATGTATCCTTACATTATATGGCACTTTTTTCCCCCTCCATAAAAGACTACAATATTGTGCTACCCAGCATCCAGGAATGAACTACTACATCCGTATTCATTATAATTACTTTGTTGCCATATCTCTACTTCCGTAGTACAGGTTCTCGATTCTAAAAGGATTACAACTAGGGAATAGGAAGCATAATATAGGAAACGTCATAGGGTTGAGGAGGAAAAAAACAGGAAATGTTGGATGATTTATTGAGCATGTAAGGCCATTTAAGCATCATTAAACTTCCCTGTTGATCAACACCTTATCTTCATGGATCATTAAAAAATAGGCAGTTCTGAGGAAGAGCAAAAGAACACAAAACAAGGTTATGGCCTCGTCATGAAACAACAACAAACAACACACTGCTATGGATTCAATTCTGACTCATGGTGACCCTGTACGACAGGGTAGAACTCGCCCCTGTGGGTTTCCGAGACTCTCAACGGAGTAGAAAGCCTCATCTTTCTCCTGGGGAGTAGCTTGTGGTTTCACACTGGGCCTAGGCACTCTGCAAGCACAATTGCCCAGCATCTACTGCTATCGCCCAGTAAGTAAACGAGGCAGCCTCCGAGTAACTAAGTCCATAAGTGTTGGGGCACTGAATTATTTAATGCGGTTTCTAGTCAAAATCTCTGGCTACCACCAAACGATTTTCTCTTGCACGGGCCAGGCTCAGAAGGTGGGCAAGGCGCCAATGGCAAACACTCACAGGTGAATCCAAGCAGGATGTTATGAGTGCCCTCCGAGACGCAGGAGGGGGAACACATCCTGTAGTCCCCACATCTGGCTCTTGGCTCTGATTTCCCCAGCTTCAGGACAGCAGTGTGGAGAGATAGGACCCTTAGTACATATTCAACCTCCACCTTCTTGGGGCCAGCCTGTTAAATTTTCCCGACGGAAATCGGTACTGCGTGGAAATGGGATACCAATGCCGTAGCTCATGAATAGCTTTCACCTTGGGTAAAAGCAGCACCACAGCCGCTCCTCACCCGGGGGTGGGTTTTTGTCCCGTCCAGAAACCAAAGGTTGCTCATTCTCCTAGTCAGTTCTCTCTTTCCCAAACCACATTTCTCAGTGAGTCAGGGTCATTGCTGTGAGCTCCCCGCTTCTGACACCAATGGAACTAGTAATTTCCTTTATGAAAAGTAACAACACTGGGCCCAAATGCCCCACCTTTCCACTCTGCTCTGCCACTCTACCACGTCTGGCTTTCAGTGCACTAGCAGGGCCACGCAGAACGCACAGCGTAAAGGACAATGGCCCAGGTCTTGTGGGTGCTGGTAAATCCCAATCGAAGTTCAGACCATTGTCAGGAGGATCCTCCGCAGGCCCAGGGCCATGGAGGCGAGTAAAATCAGAGCCGAGAACCAGCCACCGACCTGAAGGCTGGGCTCTTGCTGGCAGTGAGCTGCTCCCTTCTGCGTCTGCTTCTCCGAGGGCTCATCCTACAAGCAGTGGGATGGCGCACTCACCGTAGCCTATGAGCAATTACTCACAGGCGAATCCTATCATAAGTCCCTGCCCCTGCTCTACGTTTGACCCAGCAAGAGAACTCTACTCTTTGTGTGTAAAGCTCAGAATGTCTTCTGGACTCCTGAGCCTCTATCCTCACAGCCAGTAATCAAGGCAGGCTTCCATTTTTCTCTGGCCTGCGCTGCTTATAGCAGCCTTACAAATGGCGGCTGGGCCAACAGCCTCTCCCTACTCCAGCCTGCTTCTGCATAGTCCTAAAAATTCCTTCCCAAAAAATGTAGAAGGATTATGTCAGACTCTTTTTAAAAAGTCCTGTAGGCTTCCTCTTGGATACAATCTAACTCCGTGGTTCCAATGAGCAGTAAGGCACCACCTGGCCGCCTCGACCTTTCTGTAGCGGAACTCTACAGGGGGTTAGTGGTGTGGTGGGCTAGGCATTCATAGAGCTATTAGCCACAGGTGGGTGGTTTGAACCCACCAGCTGCTCCTGGAGAAAGGTGAAACTGTCTTCTTCTTTAAAGTTTGAAAGTCTTAGAAATCCGAAAGGCCAGTACTATGCCACCCTAAAGGGTCATGATGAATCAGAAGGGGATTGATGGCAGTTAAGTTTGTGGGTGAGTCTTGAGACTGGGCACCCTTCTCATGTGGGGAACTTCCCACACCAACTTCTCCAGAATCCAAGGGGGCCAGACTCCTGCTATGACAGATGACCTGGTTGGGTTGACCAGGTGCTCCTGCCTGGGATGCATGATCTAGAAGGAGCAGGGCAAAGGCCCACAGAGAGCTGAGGGGTGATTCACAATGAAAGTAGCAACGCAAACCCAGGGCCTGCAGCGCTCCTGCCAGCATTCCAGCTGCACATGCCTAGGGTGTGATAGGACATGTTCTCCTAATTTTAAGCTTCCCTTGGCTCTCGCCTGTTTCCCAAAGCAGGCACTCCAACTTTCCTGGGAATTTTTACATAACCAATATCCCTTTTTAAAAAAAAAATCTTTTTATTGGGGACTTGTACAACTCATCACAATCCATACATCCATCCATTGTGTCAAGCACATTTGTACATTTGTTGCCATCATCATTCTCAAAACATTTGCTTTCTGCTTGAGCCCTTGGTATCAGCTCCTCATTTTCCCCCCTCTCTCCCTGCTCCCCAACCAATATCCTTTTAATGTGCCTTTTTGCCCTACATGAACCTGACCAATTTGGTATTGTTGGCACCAAGACTCTTAACCAATACCCTCATTGTGCCAGCCTCATTTCCCACTACTGTTGGCCTCTCTGTCGTCCCTTGCCATACTCCCAGACCACTGCTCCTTTGGAATGAACTGCGACGGCACATGAATTCCAGCCCCTACCCGCAGTTTCTAGTACTTCCAACATGCGTTGCTCTACAAGCAAACATTCACTGAGCACCTCTTGTGCTTCAGGTTCTCGGTTTGAGGCCGTGGTGAACCTGGGATGAAGAGACAAGGCCTGTGTCTTTGCACAGCTCGGGTTCTTGTAAGGGGTCACCCTATGGGCACAGGCCACCGTTTTGAGCCAAGGGTAGTTGTTCAACAGTGAGGTTCCTGAGCAAAATACCCGACGACTTTGACCTCTGCGCCCATCCCATCCGATGTCTGCCTCTTGATCCCTGGGGCCTCGTGCATCATGAGTGGAAACCTCCTCACTGCCCCAGCGTGTCTAGGCTGGCTCTCACCAGCGGTGCCACTCTTCTCAGTCACAAAGTCCAGTCTCTGATCGACTGGTTAAGATCAAAAGGGCAACACGGAGCCCAGGACAGAGGGTTAGGAATGGAAGCAGGAAACCCCGGGAGGAAGTGGGGTCCATGTTGGTAGATCGCAGGGATTGCAATGGATGAGTTGAAATAAAAATGTGCATCAATTGAATGTGAAACGGATGATCTTGGTAAACCTTCACCTACATCACAAGAAAAACGGGGTGGGGGAGTGCATTCTCTTAGGGCAAAAGCTCTCACCTAAGTGATGGGATGGAATAGGTAAAGCTATTTCATATTAAAGGGGAATGCATGCTAAACTTAATCTTCTCCAGGAGAATCTTTATATTTTAAGATGAATGATAGTGTGTGCAATCGTCAATGGAGGTGGGGATATTCTCCTGCAAAATACAGTTGGCTTTACACACCGCCAGGCCAAACCTTGCCACACTGCAAGTCTTTGGAACTAGATCACAAGGTCATTGAGGGCTGGAACCCAAGTCTCCCGGCCATTTGGAACCATTGTGTTAGATTATCATTAAGCCTAAAAACCAAACTCACTGCCATCAAGTCGATGCTGACCCAGAGTGACAGCACACCAGGAATATCAATAATGAGTGCTTAATCACCACAAAGGATCAAGGAGCCAATGGTGTCATTCAAATTTCTAAAACTCCATGTTCACTTGCCTTGGTATCTTTCAGGAATTTCGTGGAGTAATCCAGAGTCAGCGCCTCGTAAAGGGCAGGGGGCTTCACGTCAAGGACGTTCCACACCTTGTGTGCCCACCTCTGCAGCTCCAGGGCACCGCCCAGGAACTGGTCCTTCACGAAGCAGATCACGAAGGAGGAGTAGTCCCAGGTGTCGCCCCCCAGTTCCTGCAGAGAGAAAGGGCCAGGAGCCAGGAAAACAGAGCATGAGGCAGATGCAAGGAAGAAGCAGATGCAAGACTTGTTTGCCCGCAAGTCAGGGCCTGTCATCCACACAAGGATTTAACTTATCTGTTCCATAAAATCTCTCAGAATAATATTTGTCTTTTATAGAAAGAGCCGTCTTTTTTTAATTAGTTAATTTTTAATCATTTTATTAGGGGCTCATACAACGCTTATCACAATCCATACATACATCAATTGTGTAAAGCACATTTCTACATTCATTGCCCTCATCATTCTCAAAATATTTGCTCTCCACCCAAGCCCCTG